ACCCCGTCTCTACTATAAATAGAAAGAAATTAATTGGCCAACTAATATATATAGAAAAAAAATTAGCCGGGCTTGGTGGCTTATGCCTATAGTCCCAGCTACTCAGGAGGCTGAGGCATGAGGATTGCTTGAGCCCAGGAGTTTGAGGTTGCTGTGAGCTAGGCTGACGCCACGGCACTCACTCTAGCCTGGGCAACAAAGTGAGACTCTGTCTCAAAAAAGGGGGGGGGGGCGGGGGGAATAAGGCTGGACACGCCTGTTATCCTAGCACTCTGGGAGGCCGAGGAAGGAGGATCACTTGGGGTCAGGAGTTCAAGACCAGCCTGAGCAAGAGTGAGACCCCATGTCTACCAAAAAGGAAAAAAACAAAAACAGCAAGGCACTGTGGCCAGCCCCTGTAGTCCCAGCTACCCAGGAGGCTGAGGCAGGAGGATCGTTTGAGCCCAGGAGCTGGTGGTTGCAGTGAGCTATGGTGACTGCCACTGGGAAGCTATGACATGCCACCCACTATGACTTTCCCCTTGGGAAGTCCAGAGAGATGCTTCTTCCCAAACAGAGCACAGCCCTAGTGCATATCGCTGCACCACCCAGAGGCAGAGGATACTAGGAGTGGAGAATCCTAAGAAGCCACACCTCGCAGCCACCAGAGCCCTAATCACGCGAAGGCCCTCACCCCCAGCCTCACTGCCCGGTGGAACGGAGGCCACGTCAATGCTCCTCCTTGGGGTGGTGATGGGCGCGGGAGAACTAATCTCCAACTCCACCAACCATCGGGTGTATCACACAAGCCCTCTCTCGTCACTGTTTCTACTCCTGGTTCCTGCCTCCTGTCACCTGCTCCCCCTCAATCTTAGATGCTCAGACGTCAGCCAGAATCTGCCCTTGTGAGGCAGAAACCTAGACATTTCACCCATTTTTCTGAACTTGCCAATTTAGCAGTTTCATTCTCCAGGACCTTATACTATAAAAATCTAACAAACTGATTCGTACTCACAGGATAATGGTTGATAATCATGTTGTCAGCATGGAAGAGGCTGACTGTAGGAGTCACAGCCCTGGGATCAGTCCTAGGCCCACCACTTGGTACCTGGTGACAACCTCACTGCTCTTTAATTTCCTCACGAGCAACATGGGGCTAACTACGAGGAAATCCCCTTCTCACAATATCTGCAACATGGTAAATGCTCCATCAACGTTAACAGAACCTGAGTGATTATAGTGACAAAGAACTAAAAAAAGAAAAAATAAAAGGAACCTGAGTGATAATGAAAGCAGGTAAAGAAATATCCTTAGTTTTTATGCAAAAGTCCCTAAATACCTTGTAATAAAAAAATTATGATATCTCCCCATAGGTGATTCCAAATAAGATTTTCTTTTTCCAAATGACATAAAAGGCACATTTAAGCAAAATGAAAGCTGATGGATTATTTCTAAGTCAATTTGTTAGTTTCTCAAAGCTGGAGCTTCTCCTCCCTCACTCTCTCTCTCTCTCTCTGGCCCCTGCATTGCTGGAGTCCCCAACTCATGGGTCATTCTGCACTGACCACCAAGTCACAAGGCCAGCAGCGTCAAGAGGTCTGTGGATAACCCCTTCTGTCATGGGTCAGTTTGCCAGAAGGAGGAAGGGGAATATTGTAGTCAGTTGATGGTTGATGTCTGTAAAAGCATGATCCTCTCAAAAAATAAAAAAAAGTGCAAGAGAAGTAACAGGACTTCAGAGGGACACCAAAAAGGGATGGCGGGGGAGAAAATGGAAGAGGCGATGACAAAAGTGCAAGATCACAATGACAAGCCTAAGTGAGCTGGAGACACTCTTGACCATGCAGAAGAAGAGAGTAAAGTCAGAGGGGATGAGCCAGAAGACAGTAGAGTTCTGTTGCCTGCAGAAAGAGAAGCACACAGCCTTGCCCTCCCTGCAGTAGGTGTTTAAATAAAAGAAGGAACAGGCGGGGCGCGGTGGCTCACGCCTGTAATCCTAGCACTCTGGGAGGTCAAGGCGGGCAGATTGCTCAAGGTCAGGGGTTCGAAACCAGCCTGAGCAAGAGCGAGACCCCGTCTCTACTATAAATAGAAAGAAATTAATTGGCCAACTAATATATAGAGAAAAAATGAGCCGGGCATGGTGGCGCATGCCTGTAGTCCCAGCTACTCGGGAGGCTGAGGCAGGAGGATCGCTTGAGCCCAGGAGTTTGAGGTTGCTGTGAGCTAGGCTGACGCCGTGGCACTCACTCTAGCCTGGGCAACAAAGAGAGACTCTGTCTCAAAAAAAAAAAAGGAGAGTGTTTGCAGGAGGCCGGCGACCAAGTCAGCAGGCCTCTGTCCCAAACCATCTGCAGCAGAGCCCACATCTGTGCCTCATCGACAGTCATAGATGCTCTGTGACGACTGAGTCACCAGAAAAGGTGAGCTTATGTTCAGCATCCTCGGTTTAGAAGGACGTGTGTGTAATTGGGAAGATTTCCAACAAAAATATTCAAGGAAAAGGTTCTAAAGGCAAGATGACAATATTTGTCAAATTACAGACGCAGTTCCCAGCATCCTACTCATTGGAATTTCTCCTGCAGATTTCCTTGCACATGTGTGAAATGATGGATTTACTTGGAGCTGCAAAAGTTTTGAAACCACACAATTGCTCATCAAATAGTGGACTTGTTAAATAAATGACGGCACACCTATATAATGGAATACTGTTCCGGGTATAAAACAAAACAACCCAAATGAGGAAGATTTCTGTGTGTTGATAAAGGAAACATTTCCAAGATAACACTGCTAAGTCAAAAATGGAAGGCTCAAAACGGTTTGCACAGTATGCTGCATTTAGGGTAAAAATTAAAAGAAAAGCATGTGAAGATATTTGGTTTTGTTTGTCTTTTCAGAAAAATCTGATAAAAAGTGGATATCTGTGAGGAAGGGGTGAATTGAGTAAATGTGGGTAAAGGCCTTTGATAGTATAATTTTCACATTGTTTTGAGTTTTGAATCATGAATATATTACTCATTCAACTTTTTTTTTTTTAATAAGAACAAATGGCTCAGAGAATAAGAGCTGTGAGTGGGGACGGCTGAATCCTATTTATCAAAAAATGATCTTTCTACCCTGCATGGTGACTCCAGGTGACAGTGGTTTACTGTATTTTCATATTGGGAGAACTCTGGAGTCTTCATAATCAGTCAGGACTCTTGCAGGTATAAGCATCAGAAATCCCAACTCAAGTTTACTGACGTTAAAGAGGGACCCCATCGACTCATGTCACTGAGAAGCCAGTTCTACTTCTGGCTTTGGGGACAGGAAGGCACGGAGCAGTGCTGGTTGCTGAGAGGCTGCCTAAACCACAGGCCTTTCAGGCACCCCATGGCACCTTGACTGAACCCACCAAGCAGATGGTTGGTGTCTCCTTCAGCATTTTCCAAGCACTGACTTTGGAGGTTGCTGCCACCCAGTAGGGGTCTGGGGCCCTGCTGCCCTTCCTTTTGGAAGATGGATCTGCTGGAAGTGACAAAGGAGAGTCAGAAGCTTCCCCTCCAGGGCTTGAGGCTGTGGTTGCTCTCTTGTGCAACAGACACGACGCAGATGCATGACATTCTGGACTGGAGAATGCGGGGCATTCAGAGCCAGACCAAGAGTATGTGTGTGGGGAGACGGCGGGCTTCCAGGCCTGCCAGAATCAGGCGGTGGGGGAGAATGGGATACCACTTATCTTCCTCCCACTCTCCTTTCCTCATTCCAGGCCCAAACACCAGACCAGCATGTCTCCAACTGAGCAAAAAAAACGGGAACATGGGACAATGCCACATGTAAGGGATGTTAGGAAACCCAAACACAGCACAACACGGATGTACTTAATTTGGTTTATAAAATGCAATTTCTGTGGAATTCTCTGTGTTCGTGTTTAAAAAAAGAAAATAAAAAAGGGCCCACTTGATTAGGAATCAGGAAAACAGAGTTCCAGACTGGAATCTGTTGCCATCAGGGCTGCAGAAGTGCTTGCAGGTCGCCCAATGTCTCTTGCGTTGTTTTCTTATCTGAAAAATGTGATAATGAACCACGTGACCAACCTCACAGGGGCTAAATAAGAGCACAAGAACCCTGAAAAAATATAAACATAACTTGAAGTTAACAGAAGGTCTTTGTACTATGTTAATGGGTTACATTTACCTTTTTTTTTTTAATCTAAAAACGTTGTTAGCAAGTATACTTTGGTTTACTCTGAGACAAGTGAGGTCGGCTTTGGTTGGAGGGGGGGATTTTAATTCCACAGCAAAATCTGCTGCTTTTGGGTCTGTTCAAGGTCCATTTCCCATCCCCTTTCTTCTGAGAAACAACTTTCACCCACCATCAGCCCCAGCAGTTTGGGTGGTATTGACCCCTCTTTGCCCCAGGGGTCGACAGGTGATTCAGGTCTGACCAATCCGAGCATCACTTCACTCTTCCCAATGGGCATGTGACCCAAGCTAGCCAATCAGAGACAATGTGTTTCAGTTCTCAGGCTTGTTGTTGTAACTATGGGGGGGTCCTCTCTTTCCGCTGCAGGGGTTATAGGCCTGGGAGGTTCCAGAGGCCCTCTCACTTCCACCAGGGGAAAGCCTGCCTGAGAATGAGGCCAGCAGAGAGGAAAGCAGAGCTGAGAGGAGGAAAGAGGAGAGGGAATCCTGGTGGCACTTTTGGATCCAGCCATTCCTAAAGCCAGCCCCACCCTTGGACTTCTCAGGTACTTGAGACAATAAAATATAGATTCCCTTTTTTCCTTCTTGTTGGATTTCTTATGCCTTCAACTCTAAGAGTCTTGACTGATACAAACTTCTGGGGCTAATGTTTGAGAACCTCTACTAAGATGAACCAATTGTGCCCACATGAAAGGCTACACAAATTAAGAAAATGTAAGTTTTAAACCATAACTTTATGAAGTCCAGATGGATCTGAAATCATCTCCCAGATAAGCACACTTCATAGTAGTACCCAGGCGACATGTTATAATTTAACAAAAACACAAATTACCAAAATAAAGAAATATTTCTTTTTATTTTACTCTTTCAGTCACGAGGTCCAAGGAAATGCGAGTTCATGGAAATTAGAAATAATACCAAAATACGGGTAAGACCAGCTTTAGAGGTTGCATGGAATCAGCAGAATGTCATTGTCTGGAGGGATTTTTGGCCTTCTCAGTTCGCCAAGACAGGCGTATCATTTGGTCTAGACCACATAACAATTTCTGTAGTAACTGTCCAGGATGAAGAGAGTTGTCAGAGAATGGTGAAGCCCAAACAACTGAAATGTTCACAGTACACAAAGCAAAACAGTCAACATTACTAGGTGATACAGACTATTTGTTTATCATTAAACTAACTAGTAAACCAGAGTAAATCCCATTATGCAGCACTACAAACCTCCTAGTCATTCCTTCACTTGTTCATTCATTCATTCATGCATGCATTCAATGAGTATTTATTGAGCACCTACAGTGTACCAGGAGGCACCATGTGAAATGCTGGAGTCACAAAGATAAAGATTAAGGCACATACTCTGCCTTCAAGGAACCCTCAATCTAATTGTGCAGAGGCAAGTTGGAAATGAAGAATGATAATGCATCGTGAGAAGTGCTGACAACAAAAGTCTGTTCCAAGCGAGACACACCATGGATTCACTCTACCGTAGGTTCCATGGAAAAGGTATTAATATGTGGCGTTCCTCCTCCTCCTCAGAATAATGATGCTTGCCATAACTTTGGTCACTGTCTTTCAGTTCCAGTGGTGCAATGGGGGTTCACAGCATCGTGACAAGGTACAGCGAACCCAGAAATGGTTAGCAGCTTTCCACCGCTAAACACACAGGAGAGACACAGCCTTTCATTGCAGGGGTGGCTAACTGCTGCTGAACCTCACCCCTGTGCCCACCCATCAAACAGTTAATGAGGAGCTGCCACGGACTCCCCACATCCCTGTGCCCTCCAAGGCTCTGGAAGGTTCTGCCCTTGGCATGTGCCCTTGACACCTGGTCCCACTTGGCCAGACATGGGTTTACGCCCTGGGGTCTTTGAAAGAGAGTTCCTTCCCATCAACTTAACATTGCAAGGGCTACTTCTTCCTCTGCAATGATTTGCTTTTCATTTGTCTTTCATTACTTGGGTGAAAAGGTGGAGTCTGTAGGTCCTGCTTAACGAAAGGGCCTACAAATGTCCTGCAGTGTTGTAAACTTTCATCCACAGGCATTGAACAGCACCCAGAAACTTGGGCCACCCCCTTCTCTCCTTGATCCTTATCTCACTCTTAGGCCTCTGTCCTCTTTGTATGTTTACTGGCAAAAAATGAATTTGACATGTGAGTTTCAGCTTCCAAGTCAGACTATACATCAAGTTATGCCAGTGACAATAAAGGACGGTTTTGGAATTTCTCATCTGCTTTGCTGAATCCACCCCACCTGGAATCACACCCACTATGGACTGCCAGTTAGCAGCAAGGAGATTGTTTCTCGGCCTTTCGGCTAAGATCAAGTATAGCAGCAAGGGTAAAAGCTGCACCCTGTGAACAGGGAGAAACGAGGAGGCAGGATTTCAAAACCATCGTCTCCCCTAGTCACTTGGAGTTACTGTGCATCGTTGTAGAAAGACCTCTCAATAGAACCATTTTGCTTAGTTCAGCCACAAAATCAGAGTCTCTTAGTGTTAATTTATTAACTAAATCTTTGTGATTTGGGTATATGATCATTATAAATTCAATTTTATAAATGCTCTCATGATAAAAAAAAATGATACAGTTCATTCTCTAAAAAAAGAAATTAAAAAGTGAATATCCCCTGATTTTACTTTGTAACAAATGTACTAAATTTAAAGCCCTCCTTTAGTGTATTTCCATAAATCACTCACACACAAAGAAAAAGCAACAACAGAATCTGGACAAAAATAAGAGCTCTCCGTTTTCTGTAACACCTTATCTTTTCTAGATATAAATTTGTTAATATAAAAAAGTGTCTACTTAGAAAATTATGAAAACATCGCTACAATGTCATAAGTGCTCTACATTCTCTCTAGGAAAACATACCTTTGAAAATAGTACAACTATGGGGAATTCTTAATGAAATTCAAGTCCTGGATGTGCCGCAGATACACTCTAATCAGGGCAGCATCAAAACCCTGCCTGTCCTCTGGACCAATTCTAGAAATTGTCTGCGACATTCACTGAGTGAGATAGAATTCTTCTTTCTTCAAATGTCACCATTGATTTCTGTGGATATCTTTAGAGTGACACCCTATTTTTTAAAAAATGAAAAGAAAAACATGTAAAAGTTAAACAATTCCAATACTAATGACATTTCCAACAGCTTTATGCCACCTAAGAGATGACTTCACTATGGTTTGTTTTTAAAAAGAAATATTTTCTATTATTTGGAATTAGTAAATGAGACTTCCTCAAAAACAAAACAACCAGGACACATGACTATGAACATCAAATGTCAGAGGATCATGAAAATGTCATTGGTTGGGAGAGCTCTTAAAGATGCTTCCCTTTGGGAATAAGCTAATAAATTAAATTGCACAATACTTGCATAGTTTTTCCAAACACATCAAGAGTAAAAAGAAAGCAAGTGCTCTTTCTAAAAATGTAATTGGGCACAGTAGCATGAACCTGTAATACTAGCTACTTGGGAGGCTGAGGCAGGAGGATCACTTGAGCCTAGGAGTTCGAGACCAACCTGGGCAACATACTGAGATCCTTCCTCCAAAGGTAAAATAAAATAAAATGCAAGAAATTTCCTATGAATGTTTACTAATCCTAATGTATAACACTTCAACTGATAAATACCTACCTGGAAATCGTGGATGAATGTTAGGAAGTAGAAAATAAAACCAAAGGCCACTGTCCATTCACAGATTGCACTCACTACATGATATACATAATCCTAATAGCAACGAAAAAGAAACAATTTTATGACTTTAGTATGCATACTGAAATAACAATAAGAAGGTTACAGTAGAGGAAAAAGCTGTCCAGTGAGCATAAATCAGAACATTGGAGAAATACAGCAAGCAACGCTATGTAAATAAATGCCTGGGCACCTGCCTGGTGAGAACATGAGAGCAATTATTCCAAAAGTTCGTTCACACTGTCACACACTCTGGTTTTAAGACTTCCTCTTCAGAACTTCAAAGGGCAGAATAAGGACTACAGAATGGCCGGCACTGGGAAGCCATATGGACTCAGGGGAAGAAAGAACTTTCCATACAAGGCATGACTTGGTCTCCCCCTCCACTGGGAGTTCCACAGATGAAGGGCACACGCTTACTAGCGCTCCTGCAGCTATTCCAAAAAGTAAGTGTGTGCAGCTAGATGAAACTGGCTGGCTAGGCCCACAAGGTTTTGTGTTTCCCTGTTTCTATAGAAATTGTTAATTCAGGCCAGGCGTGGTGGCTCATGCCTGTAATCCTAGCACTCTGGGAGGCCGAGACTGGCGGATTGCTCGAGGTCAAGAGTTTTGAAACCAGCCTGAGCAAGAGCGAGACCCCGTCTCTACTATAAATAGAAAGAAAATAATTGGCCAACTAATATATAGAGAAAAAAATTAGCTGGGATGTGGTGCATGCCTGTAGTCCCAGCTACTCTGGAGGCTGAGGCAGCAGGATTGCTGAGCCCAGGAGTTGAGGTTGCTGTGAGCTAGGCTGACGCCATGGCACTCACTCTAGCCTGGGCACAAAGTGAGACTCAGTCTCAAAAAAAAAAAAAGAAAAGAAATTGTTAATTCAGAAAATAGTTCTACTGGTCATTATAAGGTAAATATATCTGCAAAGTAAAACTCATAATAAGACACCACATGTTAACTGTGTATCTTCTGGGGCAAGAATGGAAGAACGGAGGAAGCCAAGAAGGAGAATGGCTTGAATCAGAGGTTCCAAACTCAGTTGCCTAGTGAGGCCAGAAAATTAATAAAAATAATGAATAGCTGATTGTGAAAAGAAAGGGAAGATAGGGAGTCGTTTCCTGATATTTTTATACTAGTAACTAATTAAAAACATTTTTAAACTCTGTGTAAGTCTCAAAAATGCACGTCTGCCTTAGCTCACATGCCATCTTGAGGCCTGGGGACTGTCCGTTTGCTTCCTCTGTTTCAAATAATGGCTTAATTTCTTTTTCCTACTCACTTTTCGCTCTGCTATAGGCTGCAAAAAAGTGAGTAACAAATGTGCTGCAATCCAAGTCAGTTCTCGGGTGAGCGCGGTTCTTGTGTTTTTTTTTTTTTAATTGTGTTTTCATCCACAAAGTTTTTTTTTTTATTTTTTTTATTTTTATTTTTATTTTTTTTTTTCACACAAGCCTTCCAGAGAAATCCACAAAGTTTTAATAGGAGACATGCTCACACGCTCACGGACATCGCCTTTGCTTTCCCGCCCCAGGGATGTTGTCCTGCACCCACTGTTGTCATCCATAGGGCCAGGCCTGGGGAGACCCTGGCCAGCCTTCATGAGGGGGTAGGCAACAGGGGCCTCCTCCTGTTTGGTGCCAGCACCAGGAGCCCGCCCCAAATATATCACGCCTGACAATGAAGATGGCGTCTAGAAACAGAGACAGAATTTGCTGGTGTGGGGGCATTCTTTGGCATGGTATTAACGAAAGTGCCCTGACCAGTCTCGACTCCTCCCACCCACAAGCGTTCGCAGACAAAGCTCTAGTCTCCTTGCTGTGTGAAGTGGGGCAATGACATTCTAACCCTCAGCCTCCTACCGAGTGAGTCCGTGCGCAGAAGATCCAGGCGGAGCCTGAATGTTATATCACTGAGCTGATGTAAAGGGCTTTTTTCTGATTTTTTTTTTTTGCATCTGCGTGATATCGAACAGAGAGCAAATACAAGAGCGTCACCGTAATTATAAAGTGGATAAAAAACCAAGTACTCTCCACATTTTTTAGATAGAGGGTGGAATATAACGGATTTCGAACCGCCTGGGGATGGGCTTTGACGAGCCCGTCCCGGCGGCTGATCTGTGGTGGAAGGGCGCCCTCCGGTGGCTGGAGCGCGAAGCACACCCGGGCCAGCGGGCCGTGAGGTCTCGCAGCGGGTCCCCCAACCGAAAGGGGACCTGAACCCCCTTTGCACTTTTCGAAGTCCCGCCTGGATCCCTGCCTTCCTCACCAGTGTCGTCCCCGCCGTCCGGGCGAGGCTTCCCCAGCGCCAGAGTCCTGCGTCCTGGCAGATCCTTCCTCTGCCCCAGCCCACGCCGGCCACCGCCGGGCCTCTCCTCGCCCTCTCACGTCCGGGCCAGAATGGGACTCAACAAACACGTGGTTGCTGGGTGCATGGATGAACCATCCCCCTCACCATGCCTTTAACCTCTTGCAATTAATTGGCTTGTAACCCCAACATTTTACTAAACTGCGTTTTGAAAAACATGAGTGGCTCCTTTATTGCCAAAATTGAGAGATTGAGGGATTCGTTCCTAAAGACTGTTCAGCTACATGTGCCGCGGTTAGTTAACCCGCTCCCTTCCCTAAGGAAAGAAAAATGTCCTTTCCTTGGACTCTGGGATAGTATCTTCTCCCCCTCCATAGTTATTATAGAGTTCATTGCTGTTGCTCCTGTACTTCCACAAATGTGTTGTTGTGACTTCAGCTCAGCATTTCTTTTGTTTTATTTTTATTTTATTTTTTTTGAGACAGAGTCTCACTTTGTTGCCCAGGCTAGAGTGAGTGCCATGGCATCAGCCTAGCTCACAGCAACCTCAAACTCCTGGGCTCGAGAGATCCTCCTGCCTCAGCCTCCCGAGTAGCTGGGACTACAGGCAATTAATTTATTTCTATTTTTAGTAGAGACGGGGTCTCGTTCAGGCTGGTTTCGAACTCCTGACCTTGAGCGATCCAACCACCTTGGCCTCCCAGAGTGCTAGGATTACAGGCGTGAGCCACCGTGCCCGGCCTCATTTCTTTTATTCTTCAAAGTATTACCTTTAGCAGTTGACAACTGGCTGCTTGCCCCTCTGAACCATAAACTTCCTTGGGGACCCTCTGTCCCTCTGTCCCACGGCCACCCTTCCCTCCACTATCTCCCAGCAGAAGGGTCAATGAGGTCGACTACACAGCACAGTTCTGCTTCTTCTCTTTGGTCCCTTCTCTTTAATTCTCCTTCGCCTGCCCCTCGGGAGGATACAAAAACCTCCTGCTGTTCTCTCACTAACTCTCTTCTCTCCTGGGGCAGCGTCAATTCTCCCATGTGGCATCTAGATAAACCACCACTGCAGGTGTCTAATTGCATGAGTCGATCTCAATTCCAAACATTCGGTTCCATGTGTTCTGCTGTGTAGTCTAGAAATTATCAGTCACTCTACTCTATGTTCTGGCAACTCACAATCCCACCAGGGGTCTAGTCCCATGTTTCTAACTGGACATTTCACCTTGATGAGTCTCACAACAGCCTGAGTCAATGATTCTAAAACCAAAGTCATCCACTTCTGCCTATGAAATTATTTATCCCTATTACAGAACTTACCTGGTCAAAGGAATAAATTCTTTGGTTCACCCAAGATAAAAACTTGGAAGTCATCCTTAATTCATCATGCCCCTTCATTCTCATGTCAGTCACTTGCCAGCACTCCTCAAATACCATTCCCCCATCGCTTCCAAACGAGGCTCGTCTTGATTTGAACTACCGTTTCCCTGCCCTCTTAATGCTGAGCTCTCTGTTCAGTCCTTCCCAGGCGTTCCTTCTGCCTAATACTCAGCCAATAATACTCTTTCTGTTTCTTTCCTATTCAAAAGTTTTCAAAGGTGTACTCTGGTCACCTATGTTAAGTATGAGCTCCCCTGCGAAGTTGTCTCTGACTTCATTTATTTCTCACTCTCTCCTGAAATGAACTATCCACTACACTGGACCTGATCTTATCCCTTCTGCTTTCAGCATTCCATGTGTCCTCAGGCCTCCACACACCTTCATCCACACTGTCCCCCACCTTACGTGTCCAGCCTCTTTCACTAAGCCATAGATACTTGAAATGGTTAAGAAAGAAATCAGGGGGCTGGGGGCAGTGACTCACGCCTGTAATCCTAGCACTTTGGGAGGCCAAAGCGGGAGGATCACTTGAGGCCAGGAGTTTGAGACCAGCCTGAGCAAGAATGAGACCCCATCTCTACTAAAAATAGAAAAATTAGCTGGGCGGCGTGGCGCACACCTGTAGTCCCAGCTACTCAGGAGGCTGAGGTGGGAGATCACAGGAGCCCAGGAGTTTGAGGTTGCAGTGAGGTATGATGGTACCACTGCACTCTACTCAGGGCAACAGAGCGAGACTCTGTCTCAAAAGAAAAAAAGGAAAGAAATCAGGAATTCAAAAATTGAAAATAATCCCAGGAACCAATTGGGATTACCCTGCTAGTTAATTACTACATACACACTGCCAAATAATTAGACAGCAAATTGATTATATACCATATTTACTCCACATTTTTGCAATTTGTCCTGAGAAATGACGGTGATCTTTCCTAGGCTTTGCCCAGCCACAATCTCACATAACCAGGCTCAACAGTCATAATGAGAACAACTTAAATGTTACCTTTTCTTTTGGATTCCACTCCAGCTTGGTTATAGAAATTAGTGAAGCACAGGCAATCACTAAAAAAAGGGAAACTGTTAAGGAAACCACAAGCAGAAAACATTTCCTTTAATGTTAAGACTAGATTATTCTACTAATATTATAATCATCACACAGTGCTAAAATGTTAATACCAACTTTTCTACAAACATATCAATGATCTTAGCTTCCCATGATCTCAAACCTTAAATTCAATTAGGATAGCAGTTAAGTTACAACACAGAAGTATGGCAAGTCCTTAGCAATACTTTTTCAGTTCGTTAGCAAAATTTTAATCTGTGGCTACATTTTGCTCAACCCTGCATGTTTCTGGGTGTTTCTACTTAAACTAGCTATTTACATTTGGTCAAAATGGCTGATGAAGCAGTCCAAGATGGGTCCTTTTTGAATACTTGCTAACTGAATGAAAATACTTTTCCCCTAAAATACTGTTTTCAAGGTAACAGCTTTTAAGGAAGATTTAACATTTCAAAGTACCAAGGCTCATATACAAAAAGAAGCTACAGAAATTCAAACTCTTATCTTTAAAAAATAGACTTTTGGCTGGCTGCAGTGGCTCATGTCTATAATCCTAGCATTTTGTGAGGCCCAGGCAGAAAGATCACTTGAGACCAGAAGTTCAAGACCAGCCTGAGCAAGAGCCAGACCCTCTCTCTACAGAAAAAGAGAAAAACTAGCTGGGTATGGTGGTGTGTGCCTGTGGTCCCAGCTACTCTGGAGGCTGAGGCAGGAGGATCACTTGAGCCCAGGAGTTTGAGGTTGCAGTGAGCTATGATGACACCACTGCACTCCAGCCTGGGAGACAGAGGAAGACCCTGTCTCAAAAAAATAAAATAAAAACTAAAAAATAGATTTGTGTTGGGTAATTGGGTATTTAAGTAGAGCCCTTCCTTCCTGGCCCAAAGGGTTTACAAATCAAAGACATTCACCCTACATCTGACTTTGGGAGTGAATAACAAACCCCTACAGGCCAAATAATGCCAGGGGCTGAGGCTGCTGCTTTCCTTGGACTCTACTGTGTGTAAAAAGGCTATGACAACCATTTAAATGGAACTTAAAATGCAGAAGAGAAAGCTAGAAGGAAACGGGATGCTCCAAAAAGTCTACAAAAAATTAGAAATCCAAAGTGTTAAGCCAAGCAAAGTTTGGAGCCTCCACTGAATTCAGCAGGCAACCCCTCCCACCAAGTGTTGCCAAGCTTATCAACTTCTCTGTTTCTCAAAACAAAAGAAGTAGAAAGCATAGAAGATCCTCTGATCATTTCATTACAATACTTCTTTTCCTAACAGTTTAAAAGCCTCTTATTGTGGGGGATGTTATAGACAAGTAAACTTGTCTATAAGGATATGTTGTCTATAAGGATATGCAATAGACAAGTAAAAAAAAAAAATAGAATAAAATCCTCTTAATTCTCTCATTGATTTGCTCTTTAGTTGTATCTTGGGTACACCAGGTACCATGCTGGTTTGAGGGGTAGAGAGAGGGAAAACCCCAGCAAAATAGACTTGGTCTCGGCGCACAGAAATATCACAGCTGGATGAAGCCCAGGGATTGTGCCATGCTAGAGAGAAAAGAACAGGGTCCAGCATTGACTCAGAGGGAAAATTACTAATTCAGAATGGAATAGGGTTTGGGGTGTCAGGAAAAGCTTCGCTGAGTTGAGCTTAACCTAAGTTGTGAAGTTCGAGGAGCCCTCTAGAGCAGCACCATCAAACAGAAATATAATGAGTAAATTTAAATTTTCTATAATGGGGGGAGGGGAAGTGGGAAATAAATGAATTTTCTGTAATAATATCCACATTTTTAAAAACAAAAAAGAACCAAGTGAAATTAATTTTAATAATATACCTTATCTAATCCAACATAAAAAACTTTGTAAATATGATAACATTGATATATTATTCAATGTTATATCTTATATATTAATAAATGATATATCTTATTAACCCAATATATCAAATAATATGATTAATGATAATATTAACAATGTGTCATAAAGAAGTATTAAGAGATAGTACACATTCTTTTTTTTTTTTTTTCTTATTAAATCTTTGAAATCAGGTATGTATTTTACATTCAGGGCACATTTCAGTTTAGATTAGCCACATTCCAAGCGTGCAAAAGCCACATGTGGTTACTGTGTCAGACCGACAGTTCTAGAAAGACAAAGATAATCTAGCCAAGAAGAACATGGGCAAAAATTGGAGCACAAAAACAAGCTAAGCCTAAGGGAGAAAGCATAAATAATGAGCTTGAAGCAATAGGAGGTCTGGAGAGCTCGTGTCTCATGCAAACGAACCTGGACGTTATGCTGTCAGTGATTTTTGTGAAGACCTTCAGAAGCTTTAGAAGCCGGTGCAAGATGGACAATTCAGCGGGAAGGGTTTAGAAGCAAGAGTCTAATGCCTGCCTTACTAAGCACCTCACTTTCTTCCTGAGTCAACTGAGGCCATTTCACAGAAATATTGCAATAAGGAGAAACCAGGACATTTGAAGATACTTTCTAGTCTTTGTGAAGAAACATAAAGTACCATGCTAAAATTTAAGACAAAACATTTTTTCATGTGGATGAATTCATTTGAGTTAATTTGATATAGGAGCATAACCCCTTTTTGTCTGGGGCTGCTACCCCTTTGGCATAGCTCATAATAAGAACTTCCTAGAAATGAGAACTTTCATTATGTGAAAATCTGAGGCCTGAAATGTTTATTCTGCTAAAACACTCTGATTTTAATATCTAGGGATCCATCTCCAAAATTGGAAGCAAGGAAGGGTTTCCTACACTAAGAAACTTTGCTTTGAACACTACAAACACTTCTACTGTAACCTTTACAACTAACACAAGCTAAAAGTTTTAATGAAATATATTCAAAGAGAAAGCAAGAGCATCTTCAATCTATAAGTAGAACAAGGAAATTGAGAAGGAATTGTCTTAGGAATAAGGGTATATACTTTGTTGGTAAATCTGGTTCCTCTGTGCTTGGAAATTTTGTAATTAAAATCTTCCTTCTCTAAGACGAACCAAAAAAAAAAAAAACCCCAAAACCATATTTAAGATGTCACATTTTGTATAGTTTCAATTTTACAAAAGAAATGCAAAACTTAATAAGTAGAAAGCACATGATGTGTTTTCACACAAGCTTGCCCACTTTATACCATAACTCAACCCAGACTAAATTTGCCACTGATAAAATAGTTCTAATTTTCTCACAATCTGACATTAGTCATCATTTGTATGACCCTGCAGCTTTCTCTGATAGGACTACAAATGGTATTTTAAAGATGGGAAACTTACACCAGCTCTTAAAGACCACAGCTATTTTATTTTCTTTGTTCAATACTTTATTAAAGAAAGAAAAGATAGGCTGGGTGTGGTGGCTCACGCCTGTAATTCTAGCTTTCTGGGAGGCTGAGACAAGAGGATAGCAGCAGCTCAGGGGTTTGATAGGAGCCTGAGCATAGTGCGATCCTGTCTCCACTGAATAAAAAATAATAATAATAATACAAAATCCCACAAAACTCAGCCAGGTGTTGTGGCGCGCGCCTGTAGTCCCAGCTACCCACCCGAGAGGCTGAGGCAGAAGGATCGCTCACAGCCTGGGACTTGGGAGCTTGTGGTGAGCTTACAATCACTGCACTCTACCCAGGGACACTGAGTGACACTCTGTCTTAACAAAAAAGAAAAAAAGGAAAAAGAAGAAAAGTAAAGGAAGAAAAGACAGCTGAGTGTGGAGGAAGGGGCCTGTGGTCCCAGCTACTCCATAGGTAGGAGGATCACTTGACCTGAGGATTTTGAGGCTGCATCGAGCTATGAAAGTGCCACAGCACTGCAGCCTGGGTGACAGAGGGAGACCTTGACTCTAAAAAAATAAATAGGCCGGGCACGGTGGCTCTCGCCTGTAATCCTAGCACTCTGGGAGGCCGAGACTGGCGGATTGCTCGAGGTCAGCAGTTCGAAACCAGCCTGAGCAAGAGCAAGACCCCGTCTCTACTATAAATAGAAAGAAATTAATTGGCCAACTAATATATAGAGAAAAAATTAGCTGGGCATGGTGGTGCATGCCTGTAGTCCCAGCTACTCTGGAGGCTGAGGCAGCAGGATTGCCTGAGCCCAGGAGTTTGAGGTTGCTGTGAGCTAGGCTGACGCCATGGCACTCACTCTAGCCTGGGCAACAAAGTGAGACTCAGTCTCAAAAAAAAAAAAAAGAAAAGAAATTGTTAATTCAGAAAATAGTTCTACTGGTCATTATAAGGTAAATATATCTGCAAAGTAAACACTCATAATAAGACACCCACATGTTAACTGTGTATCTTCTGGGGGCAAGAATGGAAGAACGGAGGAAGCCAAGAAGGAGAATGGCTTGAATCAGAGGTTCCAAACTCAGTTGCCTAGTGAGGCCAGAAAATTAATAAAAATAAATGAAACTGATTGTGAAAAGAAAGGGAAGATAGGGAGTCGTTTCCTGATATTTTTAATACTAGTAACTAATTTAAAAACATTTTTAAACTCTGTGTAAGTCAAAAATGCACGTCTGCCTTAGCTCACATGCCATTTGAGGCCTGGGGACTGTCCGTTTGCTTCCTCTGGTTTCAAATAATGGCTTAATTTTCTTTTTCCTACCTCACTTTCTGCTCTGCTATAGGCTGCAAAAAAGTGAGTAAACAAATGTGCTGCAATCCAAGTCAGTTCTCGGGTGACAGCGGTTCTTGTGTTTTTTTTTTTTTTTAATTGTGTTTTCATCCACAAAGTTTTTTTTTTTATTTTTTTTTTATTTTTATTTTTATTTTTTTTTTCACACAAGCCTTCCAGAGAAATCCACAAAGTTTTAATAGAGACATGTCACACGCTCACGGACATCGCCCTTTGCTTTCCGCCCCAGGGATGTTGTCCTGCACCCACTGTTGTCATCCTAGGCCAGCCTGGGGAGACCCTGGCCAGCCTTCATGAGGGGGTAGGCAACAGGGGCCTCCTCCTGTTGGTGCCAGCACCAGGAGACCCGCCCCAAATATATCACGCCTGAACAATGAAGATGGC